TTCCCAGCTCCAACAAGGCGCGCACTACCGAGCGTTTGGAGAAAAATTATTGTAACACTTTTTATGATATGATATATACGAAAAAAATCATATGGTTTTTGACTTCTTATTGTTAAATTGACTTGTTTTTTTTTAATTATAAGTTAATCAAAACTTTCATTTTGTACGGCCCAGAAAACAAAATGAACAGACATTTTCACATTGCTGCATGACAGGAAAAGGAACGAAATTTCCAGCGGCTTATCTTGGGCTTGTCCGTCGATGAGAAACCATAAGATGGCCCTAATTATTAGGCAGCTAAGGAAGCAAAATTTTCACATTCAGAGTGGAATTTGAAGGGACCCGTTGGCTTCCCAAAAATTTTCAATCTTGAGATCAAACTCTTGTTGTTTGATTTCATTGGCTGCAGAATAATGATACGCATCCCACCTTCTATGAACAACTTTCGTTTTACATTACTTGCGTGATTGTTTTCTAGTTTGCTGCTCCCTTCCCGCCTAGCTTCAGGATATTGAAAACCCTTACTCTTTTTTTTTTTTTTTCCAGCTTCGCATTGGAGCCGAAGAAAAATATAATTTTTTTGTCATTATTGACATGTGTAAATTAATTGAGATAGTTTCTTAATATAATAAGGAGACCCAATGCCGCAATGAGATGCAACATAAACAAGTTGACTTATCTTAAAAATAATTAATATACCATTAAAAAACCTCTATTACCTTAACATAAGAAGGATCCTATACATGATTTTTTTTTTTTTGGGGGTGTGGGGTGGGGGTGGTTATCCTTGTTATGCTCTTCCCCAGATAATGATCAAAGACTGGTAAAAACTGGGTGATGAAGGATATATAGGTGGCACGTTAATTTGGTATATTCCACATTTTTTTTCTCTTATGGCGTACTCTTTAATGCAGTTGCTGTTCGACTATATGCTGTAAACATTATGGTGTTTTATAGTAACAACATATAGCCTATATATGGTTGTCGACTTGTTCATCAATTTGAGTAAGGTAATTGACAAATTGTTGAACTCAGTGGCAACTATAACCTATCTTGAGTTATTATTAACGTCTGAGCCACTGCAGCACGATTGGCTCGAGTTTATGGAGGATCCTTTAATTTCGTACAAATTTAAGGTAGGATTGTTTGGATATCAATTGCCATCTTGGTCTGCCGCTTCATGTTTCAAAGATTTGGGACGGACAAAGTGTGGTGGGCTACACATTTGCTCCCATAATTTTGGTTTGGTTCAGGTTTAACGCTGAGATTTTCATGAAGTACGATCCCGCGGTTGTCAAAGCTATAAATCCAGCATACATAATTGATTACTTCAGAAGGAATAAGAAAGATGCCTGGATTACCCATGGCGGAGTTGTTCTTGCCATAACAGGTCATCTCACCATTAATCTATATCTAATTAAGCTTTGTCAATCAATACATAGTACCCAACTCCTTGTTCATGCTCTGAATCGTACAGTATAAACTGTTTAACACAGGAACTGAAGCGTTGTTCGTGGATGTCGGGTACTTCAGTGTGGCTCCATACAAATCAGCATGTGTACTGTGACTTAGCCGGCACTTGTATTGGCATATACTGGACAGGCTTCGTTTCCCCTCAAGCACGGCTTTGATGTTTCTGAGACGTTGTACAAGTTTATTCCAGGTTTTAACAAGTGGTTAATTACCGTCCATATTCGTGCCCTTTATTTTAGTTTAATTTTAGTTTTGATTTCTCATCATTCTAATCGAACATTCGATTACAGGCCCTATGTATTGGCCAATGTTTGTGGTGGCTGTCCTGGCGTCAATCAAGCCATGATTTCCGGGACATTTTCCATTATATATTCAGCAATCCCTTTCACTAGGATGCTTTCCTCGTGTTAAAATTTCTCAAACATCAACCAAGTATGAAGGCCAAGTTTGTATCCCTGAAACCAATTACGTTTTGATGCTGGCTTGTGTTGGATTTAGGACAACCCAATGCATATGGTAACTAACAAGCCACCTCTGTCTTTTTTAATTTCTCAATCTCGTGTAGTCTGGTGACTGATGTATAATTTATTTATATTTATGCAGGAATAGCTGTGGTTTTTGTAATGACCCTCACATCCTCATTTCTGGCACTCATCATGATTATGATATGGAAAACCAACATTCTTCTTGTGATCTCGTACGTTTTAGTCATCGGTTCTGTGGAGGGAGATTCTCTACTTAAGCTTGGTTCTTTACAAATTCGATCGGGGAGGATATATACTTGGCATTAGCTTTCGCTATGGTCCTAGTGTTTGTCATGTTTGTTTGGAACAATGTGTATCAGAAGAAATGCTACTTTGAATTAGAACACAAGGTACCAGCACTCCACTCAGTCCTGGTTTTTGTATCCGTCAGGTCGTTACCTATTAGCAAAGTTCCAGTAGAAGAGTGGTTCCTTTTTCGTAGGGTACGGCCTAATTATGTAAATGTGTTCCGATGTACTGAGACATGGATATACGGATGTGCGCAATGAGCAAGAGAGGCCTTCGAAAGAATGTTGGCTGAAAGGTTGAAGGAATTTATATATGTTCTCTGTCATGACGAAAGATATTCCTGGGAAACAGATGATGAAGTAGATGATGGTTGGGGCGCCGTTGAGAAACCCTTTCAGGCTGAGGATGCAAAAGAAGCTGAACGTACGGGTGAAGCAACAAGAGGCAATGCAAAGAGACATTGAATTGCCGGATCAGGCATGGCATCGGAAAGTGATTGCAGGAAAGGGCGCTAGCATCGGAAAGATGATGGATTGTGCTTACAACTTCTTGAAGAGGAACTTCGTGAAGAGGCAATGCAATAAGGTCTTTGATATCCCTCATAAGCGAATGCTCAAATTAGTGGGAATGATTTACGAGCTGTAGAATAAATGAATAAAAGACAAGGACTAGTTCACCAAGTGTTTTTTTTTTTCCCCTCTCCCCAACGCCATATTTTCTAAATTCCAGTTCTACATCATAATACATATTATAGCTGTAGTAATCGCATTTGACTTGAAAAGCGCTCTGCTTCTTTATCATTAACCAAATTTAGTGGCAGATAGACCTTTGAACTCAATATGATAACTGGGAAGTGATGCAAAACTGATATTCTTGGTAGAGCTTTGGAATTGGACCAAATTTGACGCCAATAGTCCTACCTCATTGAATGGACACACATTAGGTCACGCGAGAATTACACTAGATGACCTGCTGTTTTATCTAACTACCCTACGTAATAAATCAAAGTATTGCGAGAGTACCCTAAGGTAAATCAAAGTACTGCGACAGTAAATAATCAAATTAGATATGTATCTCTGTTGGGTTGCTGATATAGTTGCAGTCAAATGAAAATAATTTCAAAGACATTAATTTTTTAACCAAAAAAAAAAAACTGTTTTTTTTGTGAATGTAACCAACCATTCGCTAGACCTCATTTCAGATTAGCCATCAGAGGGGCTTCGTCAGTAGTATGAAAATTATGACGTTTCAGGCGATCTCCGTCAGGATTTGAGAGGAGGGGGGCGCAGAAAAAACAAAGAGAAGCTAAGAAAGAAAGCCGTAGAACAAGTGGAAAACAAATTTACACCGTGCTAGGGAGGGGGAGCGGAAGGAAATACATATACAAGATTATATAAGCGATGGTAGGACCTAGGAGTAACTAGAAGATGTTATCAAGCAACAATATTCCTTCTTCTTTTCCTTTTTCTTGGACTTGATTTAGTAATTATGGGAGGAGAAGAACACGGAAAAGGTTTTAGGATTTCACCGCTGATCCCATGATTTACCTTTCTCTTCTCTTGAAGTTTGAATTGAGACCAATAATTCTTAAGCTTCGTTTAAGCGTGGCTAATAATGGAAAGCGGTCAATATCCGGATGATGTTTACCGCCGAAACAAACAACACAGTATTAGAATAAACAAATTAAGGAAGGGAAGAGTAAAAATATACTTCATCTAAACAGCTGCCTCTCATGATCAGACAAACCCTAGAGAAACTTGATCTGCTCCTCTACTTTAACTTCCTTTGTCTCTTTCCAGTTCTATAGACCAATTCATAACAAGGCTACCAATGTTCCCGTACATTAAAAGTCATCCTCAGTCGTGGGAACATGGTCCGGTCAGCTTGAAGGGAAAGAAAATGGCAGCACGATAGAGACCTGATTGGGGTTTCCACTACTAAGTAAGCATTTTTTGTACTAGTAAACTAAGTAGTGGTCCCAGTATCTAGGGTTTCCAAAGAAACTTTTACCCCGTTTGGTTGAAGCTATGTCCTGCATCATTCAGTATTTTTAATTAGTTCTACAAACCAAGCGAAGGTTAACCACGAAACTTTACTATGGTAAAACTGAACGTGTACTTGTTTAACCTCTCTTGAGTTAATATATTCCCAACGACAAATTTACAAAGCAATGCTACTGTGGCAAGTTTTTGATATGGATGAGCTTTCCTGTTGATAAAACCGGAGAAACTGGAGCTCGGTTTCAAATTCTAGAACGGCAAATTTGTTCATCAAGGCATAGCAGTTGACACTAGCTAGGCTATTAAAAACTTACAATAAATTAATCTGGGGCAGAAGTGCAGCTTTTCGATACATGGCTGCACCAAACTGCATAATTAATTACACATTGATAGTTATGTTTTACCAGATTTCAAGCATAAACCATTTGTAGCTATTCAATCAACTTGAAAATGCAATAAAATTTTACGTGTAAGATGTAGGTAGCTTAAGAACCAAAAGAATGCCTCCTTACAGTTACTTCGTCTGCGTATATAGCGGCTAAGCCTGAATTGACTGACTATCGAGATTCAGAGACTAACGCTATTGCTTGATTTTGAATCGACTCAAACTGTGAATGAATCTGTTAGTAACTAATCGAACCATCCTTTCAAAATTACCAGTTGTTGGATTAAATCTATTACCAACTTATTAAAAGAAAGCATATTCTGCAGAAACCTCAAATATTTCACAAGATACAGAAGCTACCGAGGTCTCTGGAGGTTTATTCACAGAATTCTTCATAAGAGCACTCAACAGAGAGCAAACTGAAGACTTATAGTCCTACAGTGTAAACGTTCCCTACAAGCAAGCTATCTGCCCTCTTGATCTCTTTTCGCTGATCCAATCCAGAAGACGAAGGCAGCATCACCCCCCCCCCCTCCAAAAAAAAAGAAAAAAAAAAAGGACGAAGAAGAAGAGGAGGAAATTGTTATGACAATCATATTTTTCGAAACAAGAAAAACGATTGGAACTTACTACTTGAAATAGGCCGCCCCTAAAAACAGCTCCTCGAGAGAGAGTTGCTACTCTCATCCATGACGTTGAAATTAATTGACGTTGGGGAGACGTGAGTGGTAATTTTCCTTGGTTCTGCTAAATTTTGATTCATCACCTTTTCTTCACTATTGCCAGACTTGTTCTGATTAGCTCTCTCCCCTTCTAACTCTCTAAACCTGTTCAAGTACCTTTTTAGGGGCTCCGCATACTCATCGAAACCAAGGCTTCCCAAGGCCCAACATATGTCATCCCCGTTCACAGTTTTTCTCTTCTCTTTGTGACACTTGTCAGAAGCTTCTCCAGTAACAAAACTAATGAACTCAGAAGCACATTCTTGCATGGTTTCTTTAGCTTCTTTGGAGATTTTGGCGTTTGCAGGCAGGATCTGCTTCATTATCCGGCCCACGTTAGCTATGGGAAGAAGCCGATCTTGCTCTTTAATGGCCATCCCATCATCCCCCGACCCACAGCCTGCAGCCACCGAAGCCTTGTACTTGTTGAGGGCCTCTCCCTCTCCCTCTCCCTCTCCCTCCCCCTCTATAATACTATCAACCATTCTATAAGAGAGACCACCGCTCAAACCTCTTAAACAGAGACACGTTGTTCTCTTGTGTCGTTAACTTGCCTCTTTATAGATACAAATTAACATATTATGACTAGGTTACAAGTACGTCAACTGTACATGTGCCCTTCACTTCTTCTTATAGTATACTCCTATTATATATAATACGAAAATCATCCTCAGGAAGATCAACCCAATTGGTTGCGTGGCTTAATCAAAGATTATAGCAAGCAAATAGTCAGCATTGCTCCAAAGACAGTGGCAGACAAATTTCCATTCATGGTACGCAGTGTGCGAGTTAGGTCACTTTTCTCAAGTATTACAATTACTAAAAAGGATGGCCCGGATGCTAAAGTAATAATATAATTGCAAATCCAAAACCCTAAAGAGAAAGACTCGCCCTTATCAATTCCAGATCTTATACATGGTCCCCCCCCCCCCGCCCCCCTTCCCCAAAGTTATTGTCATTAATGTCTAATGCTCTCAATAAGTCTGCTAAAACTCTTTTAATACTTTTGTTTGTTTGAAAGTTTGTGGATAATAGGAATGCACGTGTGCCCGTTCTACAGTACTTACGTGCTGCCAAACAGGACCTAAAAGGTACCGTTGGAAGCTGATCAAATTGAGAGCTGAGACACTTGTTGGATTATCTACCAGTTTTTTTAGGTTTTACTTTGACCAATATCTACTTACAAGGCCTTTAAGCAGCAGACACAGGCCTCTGCTAGGGGGACTCCAGACTTGACCTTACCCAATTTCATGTTGCTAAAGTGGTGAGCTGTGTCATGCGGATGCATGATCTAATTGTATGTCAGCAAAGTGGTTATTGGTGAAAACTAAGTTGTAGGTCATAATCCAGAGAGTCATGGCAAAGCATTGCGGCAATTACACATTGAAAATGACTTGTTCAGGTTCATTTTAAACATCAGAACAGCCTCTCGATATATGTGATTTATTTGTTTATCAAAATTTGCTCTTGCTTTGTTAAGGCACGAGTCATCAGGTGCTCATGCATTGCAAAATGAAAGATAATTGTCTCTGAAGTCGAATCTCTTGTGGGTAATTAAAACCCCCTAATCAAGATGCAGGTATAGAGTATCATCTGGGGTGAACTATTGATTTTACATGTCACTGTTGATTTCTTATAGTTTGATTAGTATTGTTGATTTTTTTTTTTAAGGCAAATAAACTTCTTGCATTAATCATAGCAGAAAATCATATCTCACACATGGTGATGGAGAACTTGCTTTACATGGTGTGGTTTAAGAACGAACCTACTCAAAACAAGACTCTTCTTAATTACATTTCTCCAGCTTTCCTGATTAAGCAAACAACAGTGAGCTTTCAAGAACATGCACTCTTAGCTGATACTTACAGCCCCATCAATCCATGATGAATCGCAACCAAGGGTTACAAACAAACAAAAAAAAAAAAGAAAGAAAGCAACAGTCTTAATTAAACACTAATTAAGAGCTAGGATTTTGGCATTTTTGCTACTTTGACTTCACTGTAATGGCATTTTATCATGGTTTGCGTGTGTCATCACATCTTACAAATAGGAAGAGCAGAAAGGGGCAAATAGTCTCTAAAGCACCCTTCCTTGTCATGTCAAGGAAATGCATATTGTTCCCCAGCCTGTTTGCTAGTATATATACATATAGTTTTACTGCCAAGAGAATTGCTTGGTCACCGAATATTAATGAATGTCAAAGCAAATCCAGTATTGTAGTACCTCGTTTGCTACTATCAGTGAACATGATGTGGTCCAGGATTACAAAGGGGCTCTATTTAACAATTACTATTGGGAGCACTAAGAAGGGCGAATAATTAGAAAGAAGCACATTAGCATCTAAGGCTTGTTTATTTTATTGGAAAATTCCTGCTCCTTTGATCCCTCCTCCGTTCAGGTCACAGCGTCGAAATCAAACCGAACTCTACACCTCTCCAAAGTGGGAACAATTGACGCAAATATGCAGTGGGGATTATACGTATTCTAGGTTCCATCATCCATGTAGTAGTATCAGTGCAGTACTTAATATTCAAAATATGAAGCCATCTCTCGACAAGTTGATGTACTGAATGGGCCTCTCGACTCCTGGAAGGGCCTTTTTTTTTTTTAAAAAAAAAAAAAAAAACCCTTGAGTTTCGGGAAAGGTTTTTTTTTTTTCCTTTTAATTAATTTTTTTATAAGATATAATCAGTCCTCATATTATCATCGAGTGCATAATGTGTCTGTCTTGTTTAAATTAAAGGTCACAGCCTCAACTTTAGTTGAGATTCCAATCCAACGCTGGCTGCATCACAGATTAGTCTTTGCTTTTGGCGGCATCTGATCTTACCAGATGGGTGGTATTACTAGTTCATAAGTATCTGAAGAGTTTTGAACCAACCTTAACAAAGCTTTCTAGAAGCCAAAACCTAACGACGCTCTACTTTTATTTTTGCGTTAGATCAAGTAAACTTCCACTTTCGGACAGCCTGATCTGACCTTCTTTCTAGAACAGTTTTCTTATCCATGTTTCTTCCTCCTCCTTGACTTCATTGTACCTACCCATTACACCATAAAATAATATATTTTTCTCCAGAAACGAACCAATTTAATGAGGTCGTTGTCAAAAGACTTGACATAGTTAATTCATTCAAGTATGCATACGGGATCAAGTATACGCTTGATCTCTATATCTATATAAATTTTGAGAATGGATTTTCAGCAATAAGCCTTCACACATCTTCCCACTCCCAATTCCATTTTTCTAGCATTTCACATTTATTATAATTTATAAAATATATTTCTCTCAACTTCCACATCTACTCTTCATATTTGAAATTGTTGATTGCTTTTTAAAATCATTTCATTTCAAATTGTTAGTTAATGTGCATGTGCATGTTATCTTATTTGAAGTTCAACTTATCTCGTTTCCTAATTGTCATGCGTTATTTACGATTCTACTCCAATTAAGACTTCTATAAGACCATAATAAGAGATGACAAATATAACATCCTTTCATGCCACTTTAATTTAAATAAGCAAGGGAGAATGTTATTGACACTCCTATAATCATTTTGATCATATAGTTTTCATTAATTAGACTATATGATAAAATAAATGGCGAGAGTGCAAAAATAAAAAATGAAGTGCAAATAACATTTTCCTAAGTAAGAAGCGTCTTTCATGCCTTTTTAATTTAAATAAGTAAGAAGTGGCTCCACCACTTATATAGGAATGTGGTTTGAAGTTTATTAATGGGAAGGTAAGTAAGGAGAAAACATTACCAAACTTAATAAAAGTAAAAAAGTAAATGACAATATTTTATCTTTTAACTTAGTAATCCTAAGTAAAAAGGCAAAATTAAAAAGAAAACAAAAAGGAAATAATATTCATTAGTCGTGGTTTTAAAAAATCAAGAATTGTACCATTCATGAAATCTAAATTATGAAATCACTAAATAAAAAAACAAAGTGCTACTAGTCTTTTAACGTAGAAATTTTTGTTTGAAATATTCATTTTTGATAAAAAAAATGATAATAACAACACCAATTCTAACAAAAATTTAAAAACAAAAGTAACATTACAGTTTAAGAGAAAGATATAGAACATTCGACCCTAAAATACTACTTAATTTGTATCTATCTGACCCAAAGTTGACTGTGATTAGATTTGGATAAGAGTGCAAAACCCAAACACTAAGGATAACTTTGGATATCATTAATTATTTTATGTATTCTTATTGTTGTCTTCATATGTAAATATGTAATTACTATGTTATATATATATTGATTGTAGCACTTGAAGGTATTATAGATATTATCAATTTTTCTTTTCCATTTTTAGATGCTAATAACTACAACCATTGTAATCAATTTTTAGTTTCATATTTTCATTATAGTAGGTCAAGTTAAATATATTGGGCAACAGGAATATGAATCTAGAGGTTGGGGGAGGGGGAAGAAGGAAATGGTGAGGAGTTGAAGAGTGGCGGAAAAAGTTGAAGAAGAAATGTCGGTTACAGAAGGAGAAAAGGGGGAAGAAGAAAAGGGATGATTGTAGGAATATGACAAAAATGACAAAAAATAATAGAGAGAGTTCCAAACCCGACCCGGATCCTAAAAATGTTTCCGAGTTTGGGTTGAAAATAAATTCAATACCCGGACCCGGATCCGGACCCGTTTAATCTAACAAAAAAACAAGTCGATTGCAGAATATAGGATTCCGATTCGTATTCGACCCAGATTTGAACAATATATTAATAATTATAAAATATAAATATTTCTAAATACATTCTTTTACCAAATTAACAATTGAGTAATGACTTTGTAGATTGATTTGTGATTAGTTTTGGATTGACTATTGCGAGGTATTTGTGATTTAGCTTTGTAATTTGATTTGTTTAAATTTGGAGATTGGATTTGTAATTGATTTTGGATTTAATTTTGGAATATTTAAATTTGGACCTTTTAGACCCGGACCCATTGGATCCGGTTCCAGGACTCTAAGGTCAAAAGTCGTCAGGTATACGGGTCGGGTCCAAGTCTACTACATAAAAACGGGTTTGGATCCGAAATTTTCAATTTCAACCCGAATTCGACTCATTGACACCTCTAACCATGATATGAGTTATGAAAGTCGTAGGAGGTAGCTAATGACTAGCTGGCGGATAAGAGATGAGGGAAAGGATGTTGATTTTTAATAATTTTAAGAACTCTAAAACAACATATTATAGAGATTTATTTTTAAAATCTACGTTAAAGTTTATGAAAAATACTAATCTAAATGCAGTCAACAATTTTAGGGGCATAAGATAGGAGAAAGAATTTTTTTCTAAAAATTGAAGAAAATAAATTGTTTATAATTTATTTTCTTATATTATAAGTTTGGATATATAGGCATAATATAATATTTTTTGTCGGATATTGATAAATTATTTTTTTTTAAATTCTTCTCACCTTACCACCTTACCTAACCCTCTCGTTAAATGCGTTAACAATTCCTCTAT